TTGTTCTGTGTTTAGATTAGAAAAAGCGTATAATAAACTTGTTAACGTGTCAGAATCTTGTGTTGGGACAACATAAGTGGGTGTTTGCTCCTCTCTTCGTTCTGTTTGCAATAAAATGCTGCAATTAGCACCCGAGCTCTGGAGGTGGGTCTGGAGGCAGCAGCAGAGGCAGGGGAGTCTGGGATTGCACATGCTATCATCGTAGACTTGGGTCTTCACGGAACCTGGGGTCAGCTGACTCAGCAGCTATGCAAAGGTCCTGAGGCCAGCTGGAGCCACTGTCCTTGCCCAGAGCCAACCTCTTCAAAAGGCCGGGAGCAGCAGCTCTCCAGCACCAACATCATCCTGTAAAAGTGACACTCGGGGTCTGAGGGTGGGAAGGATGACATTATTTGTTTTCTTATAAAAGGCTTTTATTTTAAAAGCCTCATGGCCCAGAGGAAGCCAACCTGGAGCTATTTTCAGGAACAGACTCAAAAAGCTTAGCTCTTAATTAAAACAAAACACAGTAGGAACAAGCCTCGGCCCGAAGGCCCCCCCACTGGAACAAAATCTTTTCTGCTGGGCCCCACAGGGCTGCACCGTTGCCCGCCTGCGGGCCGCCTCCAGCCTGAGGCCAGGACTGGACGTGTGGGACAAAGGGCAGTGGTGAAAAATGAACATGGGTTCCGAGCGCAGAAAAACAGATGTGCACCAACCGCTGCTGAGGGGAAGCTCTGGGAGTTGGCCAAGGGGACTCTGGGCAGGACCCCGAGACCAGTCCTGTCTTGGGGGGATGGTGACCTTAGTGGCCACTGCTGGACTCGGCTGCCTGGCTGGAGTTGGCCAGTCCGGGTGGGCTTCCTTGCATCTAGCACCCCTCTCTGTGGCAGGCGAGACCCCAGAATGTTGTGGCCTGGGTGGGAAGTGGAGGGAAGGGGGCTGTAGCTGCGCCAATAACCTCGGTGATGTATTGAGTGAAACATCATGAAAAATGAAAGCCAACCCTGCTCTAATCTCCCTGAACAAAGGCCTTTCAGTGGACCAGAGGGCGCGGGTGGTGGGTAGCGCTCAGATCTTTCATATTAAACGTGCACCCGGCGGAATATGGATCTTATTAGGAAGCGGGCTATACCGCAGCCACTTTCCTGCACATGGGATCTGAGAGGGGCCGGCAGTAAAGGCTGCTGGCCGAGGCCAGCCGAACTCTGGCTGGGACGATGGCATGTTCAGGGCTGCCTGGTGGAAGCTTTGTCTGCCCGCCTGCCTGCAGGGAAGGTCCCTCCAGGCCTCCCATTCATGTGTGAGATGAACAAAACAGTCCTCTAACTTTTCCTAGTTAATTCCTAAGACACCTGAGCCCCTGTATTCTCTTTGGGAGTAATACTCTTTGTCCTAATCATTGCAACCTTGTGTTCCCAAAGTAGTCAAATATGGGCCTGGGCTAAGGAACCCCCATAGAGTCCCATCCTGGAAGAAACAAGTTGCTGTGGGTTTCTCTTAAGGGTCAACTGTTAGACAAGAGTTGTGTTTCCCTCTTAGGCCTTTTCATTGATCACAGACTTCAAATCATGTCTTTTAAAAGCTCTGCCCTGGGATACACACGGGGCCTCTTGAAGACGACAGAGGCCAGCCCTGGGCCTCTTGGCAGTCCTGAGAAGTCGCATGGAGGAGCTCGGGGTTTGGGCAGAGTAAACAGAAGTCAAGTGCCTGTAGCAGGAAGAAAGGATCATTATACGAGTGAAAAAAATGAGCCATCTTGACTCAACAAATACCACAATCCTGCCTTCTTTTTCCACAGTCAGCCCCCACCACAAAAACCAGCCCAGGAGAGGAAATCAAATTTAGGGGATTCCCTTACTGGCCAGGATGGTTAATTTAATAAGAGGTGGACAGATGCTGTTATATTTTATTTTGTTTCTACTTTGAGCAGGTTGAAGCCTTCCTGTAGGGCTTAGGGAGGTTGAGCCCAGGAAGGCGAGCCAGCCTGTCTTCACAAATTCAAACCAGGAGTCATTGTGTGTGTGTGTGTGTGTGTGTGTGTATGTGTGTGTGTGGCGGTGCAGCAATGATGGGCTTGTTTCAAAAGAGGGATGATAAGAGGCGAGTATGTTATAGGGAGTCTGAATGCATGCGGGGCCAGAGGCAGGGGAGTGGGTTACAGGGGGGTGGGTTACAGCAGAGGGTGTAAAACAGCCAAGCCCTGTCAAGAAGCAAACTCCTCTCAGTAAATTGCATTTTTTGATGCCAAGTATCAAACATTGAGTTCACTGGTGGTCACTCTGCTTTGTTGGCTGTGGGATTTCCCCAGCTCATGGGGAATCTGGGGATCACTTTTCTCCAGGACCTCTTTGCCCATCTCAAAGCTGGAGCCGTGATCCTGGAGCAGAACCTTTGTACTCTGAAGAGCAGGCACATCTTTTGCACGTGGGGCTGGGCCTGAGGATGTTTGGGCACTGAGGGTCCTTGGAATCCTTGGTACAACACAAACAAAGACAAATGTAAGCAGCTGGTGTTGCGTCAGAAGAGGACTGTGCTCCACTGGGTTTTCAATGGCTGATTTTCCATCCAGCCTTTCTTCCTAGGTACTTGTTTTAGTTAGGAATTGAGGGCCTGTTTGTCAGATTTATAAAGCCCCAGGTATGATACCTGTGCAGAGGGAGGTGAGGCCAGCAGGCTAAGGTGCTTCCACAGACCTGGGTGCAGCCTGAAGAGCTGGTTTTTTTCTGGAGGAAGGAGAACCCAGGTCCCCTCTCCTGCCCTCCAGTCTGTCTGGAAGAAGCTCATTGTCAGAATTCTCTCAAGTTGCAAGGGTAGAATGAGCTGGGTTGGGGAGGAATCAGTACCCCAACTCCATTCCTTCGACTGGCTCCCTTGAAACGCTGAAGGCCAAGGTTAAAGTGTGCTGCTGGGTCTGGGAGGTGAGGCCAAGCAGGAGGATTCCCTCTGTCCTTCGTCCAGTGTCCTTCTCGGGTGTTGGGATGCCAGCCATGTGGTGGACAGCACACATTGAATCCAAGTTGCTAAACTTGTGGCTTTGGGTCTCAAATAGTCACACTACTTCCCTTGTCTTCATTTGGGGAAATAAAGGAAGCTCTAGGTTCATCATGGAACTCTGGTGTAATACTGTAGGATAAGCATAGGACCACAAGGCCGGTGGTTCAAATGGAATAGCTGCTCCTTGGAAACCCTAAACAGGGTTGCTATGTGTTAGAACCGACTTAATGGCACTTAATAACACAATCTGTTAGTGAGTTCAGCTGTTAACGGAAAAGTTGGTGATTCGAGCCCACCAAGGGACAAGACTTAAGCAGTTATTTAGGAGTGGTGTTGTGGGTTAATGTGTGGCGTTGTGGGTTAATGTGTGGCATTGTGGGTTAATGTGCTGGACTGCAAGGTTGGTGGTTCAAGCTCACCAGTCGCTCCTGGGAAACCCTATACAGGGTCGCTATGGGTCAGAACTAACTCGATGGCACTTAACAACAGACTAATCAAGACATAAGTAGGCAGCATCTTTAACATGTTCTGGAACAGGGTCGCTATGGGTCAGAACTAACTCAATGTCACTTAACAACAGACTAATCAAGACATAAGTAGGCAGCATCTTTAACATGTTCTGGAGTCCTGGTGTGGCACTGTGGGCTAATGCATCAGACTGCAAAGTCATTTGAACTGCAAGGCTGGTGGTTCAAGCTCACCAGCTGCTCCTTGGAAACCCTCAATAGGGTTGCTATGGGTTGGAATTGACTTGACGGCACTTAACAACAAAAACAATCCAGATCACGGTGCATGGTGGGGACACCTCCCTTTCTCTCAGGCACTTCGGGTCTTCCTTGTCCCTGGAGGCTATCTCTGGGCAGGGTGGGGAAGGAGTCACCAGCATCAGCCTGGGAACACTCCTGGATACCTGCTGAGCTCGGAGTTTGGGATGAGAGGGTCAGCTGAGGGGCCTAGAGCTGTCTCAGTGGCCTTAGCAGGAGGTCCCACCTCCAGCCCCACACACTTTTCGTGACCCACACACCTGGGCCATTTGCGCTCGTGATCTCTGGACCGCAAGGTTGGTTTGAACCACAAGGTCAGCAGTTCAAACTCACCAGCCGCTCCTCAGAAACCCTACACAGGGTCTCTATGAGTCGGAACCGACTGGACGATACTTACAGCAACACCAACATTGACTACTGGACAGTGACTATCTGAGCATGGGTGATGGGCTGGATACTCTGATGAGTTGGCTGCTCTGACCTAGCCTGGCCCCTGGGAGGGGCCTCTAGGGAGGGAAGGATGAGTGAGGCTGCGGGTCACATACTGAGGTTTGACTCCTACTCAGCACTTAGCAAGCTTTGAGGGTCATCAGCAAGTGGGGGAGCCCTTCTGTGCCTGCTGGCTCTGTGGGTTGGTGACAGATTGTGTAGGTTTCCTTGGAGGCTACAGAAATGTTGCTGGTACATGTCCCCTCCTTCCCTTCCATCCAGAGGACCCTGCAAGGGAAGTCAGTTTACAGGCAGTCCTGCTTGGAGGTGGGGTAGTTGGGCATGACATAGTGCTGGGGGCTGCAGTTCCTGCCAGCACTTCCTCCCCAGGTCTCCCGCCCTCGATGTGATCTGGGTCACCTACTTCCCAAGAGCCCCCCAGCTGACCAGAAAGGCTGGAAGGAGAAGGGTGACCACAGAAATGGGTGTTCTTACGTTCCTGCTAACCCAGCTTCCCGATGATGCAATGGAGCCAGCAAGTAAGGATGCCATGACTTTGGACCTCGGAGGCACAGCTGTACAGAGGGGAAACTGAGGCTGTAGAGGCCATACTCCAGATCCCTGAGCAGCCCACCAGCTCAGAAGGACAGAGCAGGACACAGACTCAGAGAATGGTGCCCCCCGCTTTCCCCACCATGACTGGCACCTGAAAAGACTCCAGGGAAGTTGTGAGTTCTAGGGAATAATTATGGGGGTCCCTTGGGCCAGGCACCGTTTTGTTTTTTAAGGGGTGAAAGAAAATGTTTTTCAGCGTCTTTCTTCTTGGGCAAGGTGCCCTTTACTGTCTTCGGGGACATCTCGGACATTGGTAACTTGGCCTGCAAGGGGTGGGTGTGGGATGCGGCCCCTTGGCCAGAGTGGGTCCCAGTGCTGCGATTCATTAAGGGCTGGGAGCCTTTGTGGGCCCCTCTGCGGCCCACGGCTGTCATGGGCTGTACGGCATAATGACAGGGCATTAGAGGCCTGAGAGCAATTAACAGGCTGCTTAATTAGCAAGAGAAATTAGAGTTTGAGTGGCTGATCTTCTCTTAAAGACTTGTAGAAAGCTGGGGCAGTTATCTGATTATGCATTGATCCCAGCTAACCTCGTCCTTCGGGAATTCTCTCCCTCACTGGCATCTGTGAATATACAACTGTTTAAATATTCCTAACTCAACTGTCTCAATAAACACGGGGAGAAAGGGGCCCATTGTGGGCCCGGACTGCTGGCTTCCCTTCCCTGGCCAGCCAGCTCTGGGCCCAGGAGGCGGCAGCAGATACTCTTTACCCTTGCCACCTGCACAGCTTCTGGGCCGAGCCTGGGAACAATGTCCTCCGGCCGGGCCGGGCCCCAGGCAAGCCGGCCACAGCTGCCAATCTGGCCTGGCTGAGTCCTCCCAGGCCTCCCCGGACTCCTGCAGGCTGGTGGGCTCCATCACTCTCTGTACTGTTGGTCATGGCTGAGGGTAGGTGAGGACACCCATTGCACAGATGGACGTGGTGAGGTCCAAGGAACTGGCTGGAACCACACAGTGAGTGACCACTGGGCTGTGGCCAGGGGTGGCTATTTCTAAGGCAGAAGCCCCCCCTCCCCCTCCCCATAGGCTGTGGGAGCCCAGGGCTGTGAGGTGTGGTTCTCAGCAGCCTTGTCCTCCTCCTTTGCGGTGGAAGCCCTTTGGGTGACAGTGGGTGGGTGGGTGCTGGGTCCGTGGCTGCCAGCCCTGAGCTCTCGTGGGGACAATGAACCGTAAAGAAGATGCTTTTAGAGAAAGGGGAGGGTCAGCTGCCAAGAAAGTGCCCTGGAGGATAAGCCCACAGGTAGAAATGCAAAGGATGTTCCAGGTGATGGCAATAGCACCTACAAAGATACCTGGGCAGGGAAGTGCATGCAGGGAGGACCAGTCAGCTTGTGATCTTGTGTGTGAGGTGTGCAAGGTGGAAATAGGACTGAGAATGCCCAGTATCCCTGGCTGCCTCCCTGTGCATCTGTCAAACTTGGGGTGGGGGGAGATGTCCTCATGTTTCCCTTTGACTGAGCTGGCTGGGCAGCTCCAAACTGTGACTCAGTCCTGGGCCTATTTAGGGGCCAGGGGGCCTCTTATCCTGACACCGTGGCTGAGCTCTGCCAGGGCCTGGGCTGGAGTTCGGCCGTGAGAACCAGGCTTGGACCTCGTTTTAAAATGAAAAGGGGAAGGCAGAAGAAAGAGAGAGAGAGAGAGAGAGGGCTGACAACCTCTTGTTTTGCAAAACTCAAAATAGATTTCAGCACTGCGCTTTTTAAAGACAGATCTTTGCGCTCCCTGGCGATCCTCGCTTGACCTCTCTTGGTTTTTGGCAAGAAGAGCTTGTGAGGACTTGGCACCGAGTTATTGAAAATGCAGAACAACGGTGCGCAAACTTTGCCAGATGCCGGTATATGTCAGTTTCTTGAACTTTGCTTTCCTTGTTTGCTACATTTGATATCATCTTACCCAGACGATGCCCTCTCGAGATAGACCGCCTGTTTCCCCGCCGCCCCTAGCTCGGTGGTGTAGCCACGCATCCAGTTCGATGCCTCTCCGGATCTGTGTGTCTGGGGGAGTCTTTGCTCAGCTCTGATGATTAGACCTGGTTTCTGGTTTCCTTCTGGAAGATTTGCTGCTAAGCAGATCCATCCCTCCTGTAAGACGATAGGGATGCCCAAGGCCACCTCACTGCCTCGGAGGGCGGTGGGGACCCTGCAGAGCTGCGACAGTGGGGCCCGGATACCCCTGTATGGGGCAGAGGTCAGGCTTGTGTCTGGGATGGGAGCTGGGGTGCTGTGGGTTGTGGAGACTATAAAGCATTCTCCTGGGAAGGCTGCTTCCCCTGGTGCAGCGGAGGTAGGCTGGCTGGGAGCCCCCACTGGGCAGTTGTCTACTCATAGGGGGCCTTAAGCAGAAAACCTGGTGGCGTGGGGGGGGGGCGGCTCTGAGCTAGGAGTAAGGCCTAGTATTTTTAGACACCCCCCTTTTCCTGTCCCCAGCTTCCTGTCTTAATTGTTAATTCCTGAGAAAAGGGCCAGGCTGTTTTCATTCATGTTACAGAATGAGAAATCCTTGCCAGGGGTCAGTCTCACAGATCGGGGGATCAATCCCATATTCCATTCGAGAGAGGGGATTGTTGAATGTGCTTGAACATCAGGAGAAAAATCCTGTGAGCGAATTATCGCTACCAAAAGGGAAGCAGAGAACGTAGATGCTTGAGCAGCAAAGGTCAGCACCACCTCTGTCCACAGTTCCTAATACAGGCACTTAGTCTGGGGTGGCCCGGGCAATTGGTCCACTTTGCTTCCTTCTGGGCCCTCATGATGCTGGAATGCTTCTGAGCAAACCTCTCTCCTGAGGACTGAGTTCCATGCTCCTTTGGAAATGGAAGCCCAGTGTCAGGACATTGAAAGAATTCCCCTACATACTCTACGCATGGGGCTCTGGAAGCACCCCTGCCCAGGATGTTACCCCCATCAGGGCTGACCTGCAGCTCCGGCATGAGGCTTTGGGGCGCCAGCACTGTCGATCTGCACAGTTTGCAGGGAGCGGGATTTTATGATAGCAAATGTCAGGTGGAATGGAAGAACACTTTGGGTCCGAAATCAAATAAATTCAAGGTATATATGTGAGTGTGTGAGTGTGTGTGTACGGTGTGTGGGTGTGTGTGTATCTGTAGTGCATGTCTATGTTGTATGTGTGTGTGCATATGCATAGAAGTATATTATAAGTGGTGTGTGTGGTGTGTGTGTGAGAGAGTTTATGAGTGTGGGGTGTGTATGTGTATGTTGTGTGTGGTGTATGTAGTATGTGTGTAAGTATGCGTGTATATGAAGTGTATGTGTGTAAGAATGTGTTCATGAGTGTGTGAGAGTACGAATGTATTGTGAGTGTTGTTATGGGGGGGTGTTTGTGTGTGGTGAATATACTGTATGGATGAGTGTGGATATTGTGCATACGTTTTTTTTGTGTGCTAAGCATGGGGAAACTGGGGGCACACAGACACACAAATTATGCCCTGATATCTAATGTCCTCTTGGGGAAGGACAGTGAGCCTGTGTGGGGGGGAGGGCATGAGGTTATGTGGGGGGGCTTTCGCAAGGATAGCATTTCCCATACCCCCTGGGGCATTGCAAGCTGGATGGGGTGCATTGTCTCTGGTCTGGGCTGGTGACTTCTGCCAGGACCCTTTTCCTCCTAGAGGTGGGACTATATTCCTGCCCCCCCCCACCTCCGGCTGTGTGAGGCCCTCAGTGACAGGCTGGGAATGAGGAGGCTGTGCTCCAGGGTGGAGGCTCCGAAAGGGGGTGGTAGAGCTGGGATGCCTGCTGAGGCTCAGTCTGCAGAGGAGGGGCCACACTGGGTGGGGAACCCCCAACAGGGATGTGGGCCGACTTTGCTGGCTGCCACTCAGCTCTTCTCAGGGGATGACAGATCCTGGAAGCCTTCCAGAAAGAAGCCCTGCTTCCAGCACTGGCTAGGTGGGAGGGGGCACAGCCTCAGTTATCTCATCTGGAAAGTGGGCACACAGTGTTCCCTGCTCGGAGGTCCAGCCAGAGGTCAGCAGCCTGTAGGCTCTTGATTCCATCTACTAACCAGGAAGTGAGGCGAACACTCAGCCAGGCGCAGGGTGGTCCTGAGAGTGATCCCCAGCCCCAGTAAGCTCACAATTTGTGGTCTGAACTGGTGGGAACTCGCACTTCTACTGCAAACTCAATTTTTGTCTAGGTATTTCTGGTCACTGTCTTGGGTGGGAACAGAGCCCCCTTGGCCACTTGGCCCCTATCACCCGAAAGGGTCAGAAATCCCTGGAATAGAAAAACGGGTTCAGATTATACCTACACTAGCAGGACCCAGTCTCTCTCTTTCTTCTCCTCTCGATGGATATGTCTGTGAACACACACACACACACACACACACACACACATTCACATACCCAGCATGCATACGTTTGCTGTTGTTAAAGCTGAGGAGAATCAAGCGCACAAGGACCGCATGTGTGTGGAGTCAAACTGCTTCACAGGGCTTGTCAAGACTGTGGCCTTTCAGAAGTAGATTGCCTGGCTTGTCTTCCTCAGTACATGCATATATGTGTCATATATGTATACATGTTGTCGTTAGCGACTGTTGAGTCGAGTCTGATTTATGGAGACCCCACATAACAGAGTAGAACTGCCCCCTTTGCGTTTTCTTGGCTGTAGCGTAGTGGTTACAAATCGGGCTGCAAACCGCAAGATCAGCAGTTCGAAACTACCAGCTGTTCCACGGGAGAAAGATGAGGCTTTCTGCTCCCATAAAGATTTACAGCCTCGGAAACCCTGTACAGGGTCGCTATGGGTCAGAACCGACTCCACAGCACATAACAACAACAACAACAACAAATCTTTATAGGATCATATATGCAGGTGCAGCTCCTATATATCTATATCTATATCTATATCTATATCTATATCTATATCTATATCTATATCTATATCTATATACCAGCTCCTGCAGAGCTGCTGGCTGGGTTTGAACTGCCTACATTTCAGTTCTAGTCTATTCTGTAGCATCTATTTAATAATTTATATGTATTGGAATGATTCTCCTCTTGACAGGATAAGAGATGTTTTTTCTATAGGAAGAATAAAGGAGGTGGGTGAGCAGGCATGTAGGAGGAGAGAAACCACAGCCTCACAGTTCCCCACACCGCCGTCTGCTCCAAGGAGCTCCCACCTACCACCCTTTGGGCTCTAGTGGATGGCAAAGTCACATCCGCTGCATGGACCACAGTGCTCAAGCCCTTTGAGGAGCCCTGGAGCTGCTGGCAGCCAAACTAAATGGCAGTGCCTTGTGGGTAACAGGGTTTAGGACCTCCTAGTGAAGGAGCTCTGGTAGCGTAGTGGTTACAAATCGGGCTGCGAACCGCAAGGTCAGCAGTTTGAAACTACCAGCTGCTCCGCGGAAGAAAGATGAGGCGATCTTTTCCCGTAAAGATTTACAGCCTCGGAAACCCTGTTCAGGGTCGCTATGGGGTGAAACCGACTCGACAGCACTTAACAACAACAACAACAGTGAAGGCAGGGAGTACTGGTGTGGCACTGTGGAATAATGCATCAGACTGTAAAGTGGTTTGAACTGCAAAGTCAGTGGTTCAAGCTCACCAGCTGCTCCTTGGAAGTCCTACACAGGGTCGCTTTGGGTCAGAATCGACTCGATGGCACCTAACAACGACAGTGAAGGCAGGCACTTGGCTCAGAAGTTTTTAGAGAAGGTAAGTTAATGAGGGGTATTCCAGGCCTCCAGTGACTCACCCACTCCTGACTTGTACCCTGCAATTCACAGGCCAGGTCCTAGGTCTTGGCCAGGCTGGGATCTGGGGGGTGACAATGCTGTGCTACATCTAGCCTGGCCCCTTCTGGGGACTATCAAAACCCTTAGACAAGCACCAACAGTACACAGAGCCAAGGTGCCTCAAACCA